AAAAAGTTCGATATAAAGAAAGTCGCATAGATGTGTCAAAATAAAATGAGATCAAAAGGTCAAATTATCCCCAATTGGTAGTTAGCAATTTGGTACATATATAGTTCGTACTGCTGTATTGTATTGATTTTTACTTCATATTCTATACAATCTAGTACGAAAGTATCTTTATGTATATGTATCTTCATACTGTATCATATCGTTTCAAAATTTTATAAAATACAGTACTAAATTCTCTTCCATAAATACACTATATATGTATATTCTCATTCTACTGTTATTAATAGTTGAATAAATCAAAGTTACAATAAAATAAAGACAACTCATATAACAAAGAATTTATTTATTGGTATTTTCAAAAATCTGGATTACTTTGGTGGATGTTATATAATGTCCTTCCAATGAGCGCAAGAATAAAACATATGATCCCGAATGCTACACAAGAGTGTCCATGGTGTCCAAATGAGTTACAAGATAAAACGCATTTTACAATAAACTGTAGAATCAGTAAGAAGCTTTGGGAGTTGGCTTACAATATGTTTGGTTTACTCAAAATATAGCACTCCCAGTTTCAATTGAAAAAATAGTTACCACATCAAATGTCAAAGTGGCACAACTACTTTCAGTTAAGGTTTGGGTACATATGAACGTAATTTACAAATTATGATGGTGGCTAATAAATAGACTTCAAGAAAATGGGCAACTACCAGAACCGGCATTACCCTTTGTTTGGAAAGATAGAATCACAGAAGATATTCAAATAGCACTAGCAAATAGAAACTGAAAGAAAAGAAAGATCCTTTTTGAAACATGTATATAATATAAACAATTAATATATATTAGCAAACAATTCAATTGTATTATATAATGATTTTATAAGATAATAATAAAACGCGTTATATGATGTCACCAGATAACCATTATCTTGAGGTCCAAAAAAAAAAAATCTGTATTACTAAGAGATAATTCTATATAAATTTCATTATACGGCAAACTTATATGATCATGGCACAATTTTTGCACATTATTTTTTAGGCGTTTATGGTGTAACATCAAATAATTAAATTTTGCCCAATAAATTTTACCATTTATGCATTGCAAATAATAATATTTAAAATATGTCATATTATAATTTTTACATTATTAAAAATTAAAGGTACAATTATAAAAAGTATTCCTGGTAAGGAATTTTTCAATAAATTCTTTATTTTTTTCTTTTTGACCCTTTTCGAAATTTTCAACCACTTGTTTTTGCAAGTTATTTTTCAGAATATTATGATTGTGTTTAGACAATATAGCAAAAGAATCATTTTGAGAAGACACATCAAGATCGTCAAAAGCATTTGCTAATGATGCTTGTGATTCGGCTCGATACAAACTTGCAGGAACAAACCCACAATCTAATAGGGCTTTAGGGGCGACATTGGCTTTGGGGGCGACATTGGCTTTTGAGCCGGCATTGGCTTTGGGGGTGATATTTTTCTTGGGGGTGACATTGGCTTTGGGCATGTCATTGACTTTGGGGTCAACATTTTCCTTGGGGGTGGCACTGGCTTCGGAGACGTCATCTAAAAGAAATAAAAAAAAATCAATTAGCTAAATCTTTCAATTAAACTCTAAAATTTATATAAAATTTACCTTTCAATACTTCATTTGAAATATGCATCAATGCATTAAAAAATCCATTAATACCTTCCCATTGCATCACTGATTTTGGTTGTTCGTATGCAGCAAGACCCTTTTGAGACTTGTGTCTTGTGATCGACATTACAACAGAATCTGAATATCCGAGTTCTTTTAGTAGTTGTATCACAGTTTTTCTTCCTGAATGATTCGAAATATTACGAGTGCCAATCTGAATACCAACAGTTTCACATATAGTGCGAAAGTAACTTCTCAATGTTCATTCTCCAAACGCACGCCCATAATACCAGTGTCCATTAAATTCAGCTTAAAATAAGTTAGTATATTTAGCAAATAAAAAAATAAAAAACTAATTACAATAAAATACTTTACCCGAATTTATACTATAAGGTTTCAAATAAAAATTTATCACCGTAGTTGCTGGGCGTTTACTAAAATAAAATTCATAATCGTCAATAATATCTTTGATATTTGGCAAGCTAATTACTTCTGCTTGTGCGTCATAATCTTCAAGCCCTCGTTGGTTAGTCTTTGACCGATACAATTTAATGTCAATTCCTCCATCGGATCTTTTGATGAAATTGTTGATTTCGAGGCTTTTATGTTCACTACCTTGTAAAGCTAATAAAGTTGAATTAAAAAAGAAGATCTGCCGTAACAATCCTTCAGGGCTATTGCGTTGCATCGTAGGGTAGTCAAGGATCTGTTCAATTTTATTTCTTATTAACCCATCTGCCCCAGTTTTCTCACCAAAGCCCTTCGCAGAAAGAGTTTTAGTTTTCCATTAATGACTTGATTTAAATCAAAGTACACCTTCGGATTGAGTATGTTAACTGGTTTCTCTATAACGAAGTGCTGGTTAAGGTAATGCCAAATTACCGCCAGGCAACTTCTTACTGAATTAGCGTGATATTCACCACCATCACGTCACTTCATCACATATATGAACTTAGACAATTGGTCTTTTAGGTCCTTTTTAGAGTTCACCTCCTTAATTTTACCTTCGAATCTGATATCAGAATGGAATTCTTCTAATAGATTTATCTACATTTGTATAACCACATGAGTGGCTTTCACCTTTGCATTTTCCTGGATTGTGCCAAGTTTCTTTGCCAACGGTTCTGTATACTTAATTCTCTAAAAAAATAGGTTAGAGAGCTTCTTTATAAAGTAGTGCAACTTGAAAAAGTAAAAATAAAAAATTACTTTTGCCTTATTGGCTTTCGTTACAATGGATTTAGCTTTTGGTATTTTTAAAAAAAAACTTTTAACCGTTTTTTTTTTCACTTTACAGGAGAGCCTTATAGTTCTCTGGTGGAATATTATAACCAACAGTCCTTAAACTTTAAAAATACCGAAAGTTCAATAGACAACCTTCGAATTAGCGACCTCCAAATTTCAGACCTTTTGAATTAGCGATCTTCAAATTCAGAGATCACAGCCTTAAACTTGCGATTTCAACTCCTAGAGGTAATAAAGGTACTGGGCAAAAAAAAACACAAGAAGCCAGAAAATATTTTAAGAATATGGGCACCTTAAAAAATTTTTTTTCACTTTATAGGGAGTAATTTTTTTTTTTACTGAATTGTCATCTTTTTTTTTTAGATCTATGTTTTATAGACCGTGGTGGATCAGGGCCATGATCATAAATTGCTGTATAATACCATTATTGAGCAAATTGTTGTACAATGGCAATTTGGCTTAACCAGACAAATGATTGTCTAGTATATGCCGCTTCGTGGTATGTGCTAGCCAATCATTTGCCCGGTTGAGCCAAATTGCCGTTATACAACAATTTTTGCCCAATAATGTATACCTATGCAGCATGGTGTTTAATTGTTACATGATTAAATTTATGAAAATCATATGTTGATTTTTACATAAATTATATGTGACAATTAAGCACATGTTGCATAGTATCTATCTCTATATATGCTCTTCAAAAAAAAAAATAGTAATATAATCACCAGTTCTTTGTATATACTAGAAAAAAATCATGTATTAATAGAAAACCTGCCATATGCCTCTTTTTTTTTGATATATATATACAGTATATTTTCATTATAATTACTTGATTTATTCTTAATTTGCTTCTCAATTTTGGGTATAATACTATCACTATAAATTAACTGTTATTTGAAGATCTTTGCAGTTTTTTTAAAATCTAATCTAGATTAAGTATTTTTTATTTTTATTAATCTTTTTATATTTTTTTCTTTTACTTATTTATTTTTTTATTTATTTTGTTTATAGCAAAAATAAATTAGCTTATATAAGCAATTAATAAACTTTCTTTTTTATCACTTTGTTTACTTCTTTCTTCTGATTCTTTTCTTTAATGTTTGCTAATAAATTATCAATATTTTACTTGTAAATTGCATTGCGGTAGTTTTTCTCATCTTTTAGTATTTGCTGTGAATTGCCTTGTAGTATTTTTTTGGTCTTTTGGCATTTGCTAGTAAGTTATCTTGCAATATTTCTTTTGGTTTTTTAGTATTTGCTAGTGAATTGTCTTGTAATATTTTTTCTGATCTTTTGGTATTTACTGGTAAATTGTCTTGTAGTTGCTTTTTTGGGTAGTTTTATACTACTCTTTCTTTTCTTTTTTTTGTAAAAGTTCTTTTGGTCTGGTGTTCTTTCTTCTGTTTCTTTGATATTTTGTTGATAAATTGTCTTGTAGTATTTCTTTTAGTTTTT